ACCCATGGACAAGGGTCCCTGTGCCCTGCAGAGGCGCTTGAGCTCCCATTGTCAGGCAGGCAGGGTCAGGTGTGGGTGGCTTGGGGTGGCAGGCCAACTGCCCATTCAGTGTCAGGCAGGCAGGATCATGCAGATGGTCTGTTGCCCCCCCCCCACCAGAAGCCTTATGCAAATGCAGGGGGGCGGTTACACCTGAAAGGCATTTGCAAGCCGACTTTGGGCAGTGAAATCATTTCCTTCAAGCCTCCCATTGGCTTGCAAGCACCTTTCGGACTGTCCCAATCTCGGTGCAAAGAGTGTTTGCAAGCTGATGAGACTATGGGGCTGCAAAATCATTTGCTTGAAACCTCCCATTGGCTTGTAAACGCGCTTCATGTCGAGATTGGAACATGTTGTGGAAGGTGTTTGCAAGCTAATGGGAGACTTCAAACAAAGGAATTCACTGCCCCCAAATCTTGTCATCTTGTGCAGATGAGGACGGTGCCTGGGGATTGAACAGTACTATATGAATGTAATGGGGAGAGTGGTGAAAATGGGAAGCTGTCGTGGGAAATGGACAGGCAGCAGTGGGCAGGGATTTCCCATTTCGACCTCTCTTGCCTCTGCCTGGACTCCAGCCTAAAACCGAAAGGGCAGTTTGGCTGGCCACCACCACCACATTCCAACACCGTTTGATTCCCCCAGTCACCCTCCCCAGCTGCGCACAAGCACCGATGCTCTTTCCCCCCCCCCCAGGCTTTGGTGCTCACCCCTCCCAGCCTTATCTGGCCCATCACAAGTGCTCCTTGATGTGAGCGATGTTGAGTTGGCTAGGCCCGCCCAGTCATGTGACCACCAAGCCATGTTCACATGGGCCTTTGAGGATGACTATAATGCTGATCCGTCCCTCAATGAAATTTAGTGCGACACCCCTGTTTTAGGGTGAGAGTAGTAAAGGTTTNATTAGTGATGAGTGTTAATATGCAAGCGTGCATTACATCTCTTGTGGAATAATCTTTAATTATTAACATATTTTTTTTCTGATTCCTTAAATTACACAATTTAGAAGTTGCTTTGGATTGATATCAATCTTTGATATCTTCTCTGAAGAATATTTGCATTTTCTGTCCTTCAAGGAAATAAAGAACAATTATGTTGGCCTATTTCTGTAATAAAGATTTGATTTGATATGAGAATAGTTCCCTCTTACATAGGTCAGCCATTTGAAAATTGAAAAAATAAAATAAAACATTTAATGGTTGATAATCTGCTTGAAAATATTGTCCTTGTACATGGTTCAAAATTTTTATTAGTTCATCAGAATACAAAATATAAAGGAAAATGAAAATAATGGAAAACTGGGAGAGGAAAAAATGGAAGAGGAGAGAGTGTAGTGTGGAGGGGGGGGGAGGAAAGAAAAGAAGGTTTTGACCTCCAGCTGTTTTTAGCATAGTAGAAGACAACATCAGCCTGAAGTTTTTACTTTTACACAGTAATATATACTAGTCATTTCTATAACAATGAATGTTTAAACAGCAAAACCAAAATCAAAGTTTCATTTTTTTCCATCTCAAACACAAAATCCAGAAGTGGTTTCGTAGTGGAAACAAAATTAGACATGTTCTTTTCTTTGAATAAAACAATCAATATAACATTTTTCCTTGCTGTGGGAAGTAATATACATCTCTATATTTTCACTTGTTAATCTTGATAGACTATCATTTATATTAAAAACATTAATTATACTCTTCTTTTAACTTCCTTTTAATGTACATACTTTCAAATTCACTTTTAAGAAGCTAAGAATATTGTCCATTTTGAAGATAAGACTATTCTCCAGTTTTCTGAAACTCACCAGTTTTCCATGAGTTTTCAAAAATTGCCAGTTTTAAAAGATTACCACTTGGGACTTCTGTGGTCATCTTTGCTATTTCCTTCAGTACTCTATTCATGTCCTTGGACACTTGAATTCATTTAAATTAGGGAACTGATCTTTTACCATTTTTTTCTTTAGCCTGAGTTTGTTGTCTTGGGTGTGGCTATACCTGCCAGCTTAGTGTCATCTGCAAATTTGATGAGTTCCCCTTCAATTCCCTCATCTAGATCATTTATGCCAATCTAGAATTGGAAGCTTTAAAATATGTTTGTTTATTGGTATGAATGAGTGGACAAAGTTACAGATTTGTTTCTAATTATTATTTCCACTGAACTGTGTTATATAATGTAAGGACTCCTAAGTATATTCTTTTTTTTTCTCCTTAGGACCTGCTGATGGTAACCTATTTGGCAAATCTCACCCAATCACAGATTGCACTCAATGAAAAAATCTTAAACCTGTAATGAAATCTTAACCATCTATTAACAAGACAACGTAAAGAAACAGCGGAACTTCTTTGCAGAGTCCAGACTCTGTAATTGGATTTTATCTTCTGAACTGACTGTTGGATTAATCTTTCTCATCACCTTTTCCCTTCTTCTAAGTATGGTCAGAAAGGTGATCATCATTAAAAATGATCAAGGAATTCCTAAGCTCCTCTGTCTTGCTTGTGTATTATTAACATAACTTTATAAATTTGTAGGGATCCTTGATTTCTACTAGGGAAATATATTTGAATTTGTTTTTGAAAATATTTATCAGCTTCAAGTGTGAAAAAAATAATTCTGTTCGAAATAATAAGCTTTTCAAAATGTCATTCCAAACTTCTACCAAAGTACGTTTAGGATTTAGTTGAGTATAGGGATACGCACTGTACAAAAAAAAAGTTAATCTCTGTTGCGTTCCTGTCTTATAATTACTTTCTTTTAGGATAGACTTTCTGGAATGAAGCTTAAGCTATAAAAAAAAATCATACGGCATAAAGAACAAGATTTTGTTGAAGGGCAAGGCAGAAGAAGAATACTTCTCAAATAACCAATGTTTCAACTGTGCTATAAATGCAGAAAGTTAACAGGGCTGTGAAAGCTAATGAATGCATTCTTGTATCACAGTGCCACAACTTGCCAGCAGAAATTGTAGATATGTGATTAGATGAAAATAACATCCTAGGTCTCAGGAAATTCCTTTAGGTAGTTGATCTGGAGGAAATGAAAGTAATGTTTGTTCTGTTGTAGAATTATGTTTTCGTGGAAAGAGCTCATGAAAGGGTGTTTAATCCTTTTTCTTGAGCAAGAACAGATATCCTTAAAATCAAGGATTTTCCTTTCAGTAGAAAGCTTGGGAACTTGGCTATCTAGTGAGAAAGTGGGAGATGGTCTAGTGATTAATGCAGTGATGAAATCAGATGATCATGATATATTTCTTTATATATGAATGACAATTCTACTATGGATTGATGCTCCACAGATGTGTTTGGGAACTTGAATTATAAACCAAACATTATTTTTCTGTACACGGCTCCTGATGTGGGTGATACAAAATACTATAGTAATACTGCCAGAATAAATAGAGGAATAGAATTGGCATCTTGATCTTAAAGATCTGATCTTATTCAAGATTTTTTTTCTTTCATGAGTAATATAAATGGGAGGTGCTATTATTTACCGACCCTTTCCACAGATACTGATTGACTGTTATGGAAATAGAATGCTAAACCAGGCTGTTTAATTTGATAAGGCCTGCTTCTTTGCCTAAGCCAGAGGGGTCAAACTCAAGGCCCGTGGGCCAAATCTCGCCCGCAATGTGGTTAGAACTGGTCCGTGGGACCACCCCGGAAACAGCGAAGGACCGGCCTGCGGCACCTATGCTTGACCCGGACTAACTGGGTGCTGGTAGCAGCTATCTGGGCTGGAATGTGGTCAGCCTTAAATCCGTGGGCCACCCTGGAGCCAGCGAGAGGCTGCCCCTTGCCCCACCCCCTGTTGGTGTGTACTGGAGGCGGCAAGTGTGGGGCCTGGCATCCCTGGGGATTGTCTTGCCCTGCAAGCTGACTGCATTCTGAGCGCTTCTCTTTCACCCAGGACCCCAGTACTCACTGCCTCCTATGCGCATGTCCAGAGGATGGGGCAGATCCTCGCTGGCTCCAGGGGGCCACATGAATCAGATCTAAGCCTGACCGTGTTCCAGCCTGGATGACAGCCACAAGTTGTAGATCAATGCTATGCGTGCCACCAGCACATCCATGCCCCACTGGCTGGCCTGCCCTCGCAGCACACAAGGCTTCCCTTTCACTGGGATCCTCCCTACCCCTGCATAACAAAGCCACGGCCACTGGCAGCACTGCCAATCTTTCGCCCTCCCCTTGTCCCTTCCTGAGTGTGAAGGAAAGAGATGGGAATGAGAAGCAGGGAAGGGAAAGGGTAGAGATAGGAGGAGTAAGGATGGGGTGGGGGGGGAGATGGGGTCCTGGTGCCCTGGGACCTTGAAGGACAGGCTGGGCTCTGGGNATGGGAGAGATATTCCCTTATGTGTTTCAATCAGCGACCACCACTGAGCCAATGGATTGTGAACCAAATTTCTCCTGCATAGCCTGATCACATAGTTTCATCCAGCTAGTGTATTAATTTGAAGACAGATGGTGTTTTTTTTTACTATGCATTACAGAGCACCTCTTTGAAATCTTTTGCATAGCTCTTATTTACTTTACAATTTCGGTATCTGCAGGTATTTCCTATTGCCTAGAAAAGTGGGCTTGATGTTTTGATCTGTTTGGATACTCAGTGAACATTTTGTGAGCAACCAGCTGTCAGGCAGAAATATGCTTGCTATGATTCATTTATAATATAACCAAAATATAACTGATTGAATGAATTAATCTCAGGCTATTAGTTCCTTCCTTTCCTAAATTAATTTTAATTCCTAAAAATTAAAGTATTCATTTGAAGAAATTTAAAAACAAATAAAATTATTATTTTTAACAAGTTTTACTATATATCACACACATAAATACACAATTAAAAAGTGATGTGAATAAAAGGAGTTTTATATGCCTCTTCTCTCCCTTCTGTGAGTTCATTAGTGCTTGATACTTGAAATGATGAAATTTTACAGAAGATCTCAAGTATTGTTTTTTCTTACTTTACAGAATGTCATACCCAGGATATCCTCCATCAGGCTACCCATCTTTTCCTGGTTATCCTGCAAGTATTGATTTGTTTAATATATGCTGGGGGCATGGGAAGCCAAAGTTCAAAAAGAGGGCAATTGAGCAATTTATGAAATAAAACTATCTTGAGTGAACTAATGGCAGCACCATTTGGTCTGAATCTATCTTGAGATTGGCAAAGTAAAGCCTCCTATATTCTATTTATTAAGAAAACTATAAATAGCAATGCTTTTCTGTTCATTTCTTTTTTCTCTTTTATAGTTTATTAATTTATAATATAAAATGCAAAAATACAAAAGAAAATAGTAGGAAAATAAGGGAGGGAAAGAGAAAAGTGTAAGGCAAAGGGAAAAAAGAAAGAAAAGGCATTGACTTCCAACTCCCTTTGTGCAGTAGAATAATAATAGCATAACAGAATAATAGAATAAAAATAGCATCAAACCTCAACTTTTTACTTTTACATAATAATGTAAACTAGCCATTTCTATAACAAAAAACCTATCTAATCAGGAAAATCAAAGTTTCATTTCTTTCCACTACAAGCACAAAGTCCAGAAGCAGTTTCCAAATAGAAATAAAAATAATTGTGTTTTTTTCTTTGATCAAAGCAGGCAATTTGGCCATCTCTGCTAACTCCATTAACTTTTGCAACATTCATTCATTGTAGGAATAAAAGTATCCTTCCATTTTTGTGCGTAAAATAATCTTGTTGCCATCAACATATATAACATCAAAGTTCCAATTTTTTCCCCATTAAACCCAGAAGAAAAGTTAATAATAATATTAGCAACAACAACAACAGAGTTGGAAGTGACCTTGTAGGGGACCCCTGATCTATAGGTCAGATAAGAAAGGGCATAGCCCACAGCTGCATAATGGTTTGCAAAAGAAGCTCAGAAGGGATCCTCCTAAATTCAATCAATCAATCAGAATAGAGCTGGAGCGGACCTTCTAGTCCAACCCCCTGCTCAAGCCAAAGCACCCTATACCTTTTCGGACAAATGGCTGTTCAATCTCATCTTGAAAGACTCTGGTAATGAAGCACCCACAACTTCCAAAGGCAACTTTTGTTCCATTGGTTGATTGTTCTCCCTCTCAGAAAAGTTCTCCTTATTTCTAGGTTGAATCTCTCTCAGTCAGTTTCCATCCATTGTTCCTTGTTTGGCCTTTGGGTGCTTTGGAAAATAGGTTGTCCCTCTCCTCCCTGTGACAGCCACTCTGTGACATCCCTCTCGCAGTTACTGCTATTTCACCCAGTCTATATGTGAACTTTTGATTTTTCTTGTCTTAAGTGTAAGATTTTACTTTTCTCTATGTTGAATTTTATTTTGTTAGATAGGCGCAGTGTTCAAGTCTGTCAAGATCCATCTGGATGTTAAGCCTATCATCTAGGGTGTTGGCTATTCCTACCAGCTTAGTATCATCTGCAAATTTAATAAATTCCAGTTCCATTCTTTCATCTAAGTCATTTATGATGCGTATTGGGCCTAAGACACAACCTTGTGGTACCCTACTGCTTACTTCCCCCATGTAGATGTAGTACCATTAAGGACTATTCATTGAGTATGGTTTGTCAGCCAGTTACCAATCCATCTATCCCACTTTTTTCTAGCTTACCAAGAAGTAGGTTGTGGTCTACTTTTTTGAAGTCTAGGTATACTATGTCAACAGCATTTCAATGGTCGTCTAATTTAGTCGATCAAAAAATGACCATGGGTTTGGCATGATTGTTTTTAACAAACCTGTGCTGACTTTATTTGCTTCTAAATGTTTGCAGGTCTGTTTTTTAATTATCTTTTCCAGTATCTTCCCAGGTATTGATGTTAGGCTGCTTTTGCAACCTTCTGATATGCAAAGTCAATGGGGAAACCAGATTCACTTAACAACAGTGTTATTAACTTAACAATTGCTGTGATTCACTTAACAAATGTGGCAAGACAAGTTGTAAAATGAGGCAAAACTCAACAAATTCCTCACTTAGCAACATAAATTTTGGCTCAATTGTGGTTGAAGACTACCTGTATTGGTAGTGTTTAAAACAGAAAAAGCATATTTGGTAAAACATTAGTCTTAATTAGAGAAATTCTACCCAATCTTAATTGATCAATTAATTGGTGGAATGTGGAAGCAGATTAGATTTTAGTGAATAGATGAAGCCTATTAAATTCCATGAAGGTTCTTGCGATAGGCTCTTTTAGAATTAGATTTTTTTAAAATGAAAGTGTAGCTAACTTTCTTAGGAAATTTACAGGAGGAAATTATATTTACAGATATAATTTTCCAATTGTGAGGAAAAAGCCTACCTGATATCAAACAATTAGTGTGGACATTTCTATTCTTTACATTTTTGACATAGCAACAAATGTGCTAATGCACCTTTCCTGTTCCTGACTTTTTTTTTTTGAAAACAGCAGAACTACAATTTGCTGAAATGCAGAATATGGGTAAAGGGGCATTGAGCTAAGTTCTATCAAGTTAATCTCAGTGGCAAGAGACAAGAGAAGAGGCTTGTGACATACTGTAAAATGAAAGAGAAATGACTTTTAGAGAAGAAATTGAAACAGGAATAGTAAATATATTATTAGGAAAGGATCTTAAGCTGTTTTTAGGACTTTTTAACTGGGAGATGAAACTCAAGAAGGAAACTCAAACCCAAATGTGGTTGCGCATGGACATGAACACATCACCATGATGAAATAGATAGAAATAGAAATAGACATGCACACACAAGATGTATTGAGGTGGCCCATGGTGCTTCCTCAAGTAGGATTTCTAAGCATTTTCCTCACAGCATTACAGTTACAAAACCTCTTGCAATCTAGGAGTCAAGACTGGTCACTGTCATCCCCATTTTTTTTACAGAAAAAAATTAGGCCTAAGGAAAGTTGAGCAGAACTTATCAACTGCTCTTCCCTTGTGTATGTAATAATATAGCTGAGATGTGCGCTGGGCTAGGTTTCCTGTCCAAATAAGATTCTGAATTTCAGATTCAGATTATCAAAGATTAAAATTAACAAAAACATTAACTGATGATTAAGGAATTATTATATCCTCAAAATGCTTCATACAATGGCCATACTGAGCCACAATGAGCTGTACTGCACATGAGAAAGATTGTCCAAAAACATCTTTATCATTGTAAGGAAACCAACCCCAGGACTGATGCTTCCCAGGCATGTAGATATTATTTTCAGTAATTACCATTCTAGGTATCTGTAGTTCTAGCACCACATGCTAGTTAATGAAATGAGTAATAGAATCTGTTTTCAAATATGCTAATATTTGATTGGTTGTTTCTATTCAGCCTACCGGACAGGAGTCTGTTTATCCACCTGCTAGCCAGTATTCTTACCCTGGGGTGCCTGGAGGCTTCCCACCTGTGGGAGGCAGTGAATATAATGTAGCTCCACCAACTGGGGAATTCCCAGGGAATGCAGGCTACCCAACCGCACCTGGTGGGTATCCTCCTGCATCCATTGGATACCCTGGACTACCTCAGCCTGGTGGCATGCCAACGTATCCTGGAGGTATGTTCCTAAGTGTGGGTTATCAAGTGCTGAATGTTTATGTCTCATATTTCAAGAAATCTAAACAAGCAGGTATGGACGCGGTGGTTCAGTGGCTAAGACCCTGAGCTTGTCGATCAGAAAGGTTGGCAGTTCAGCAGTTCGAATCCCTAGTGCCGCGTAACAGAGTGAGCTCCCATTACTTATCCCAGCTTCTGCCAACCTAGCAGTGTCGAAAGCTGGTAAAAATGCAAGTAGAAAAATAGGGACCACATTTGGTGGGAAGGTAACAGTGTTCCGTGCACCTTCGATGTTTAGTCATGCTGACCACATGACCACGGAGTCGTCTTCGGACAGCACTGGCTCTTTGGCTTTGAAACTGAGATGAGCACCTCCCCCTAGAGTCAGGAACGACTAGCACATATGTGCGAGGGGAACCTTTACCTTTACCTTCATGTTTGCTATTCTGGTATATCACCGTGTATAACAGTAATGGGTTATTGTGAGAATAAAACAGAGGGACAACATTAAATATACACCAGGTATTTGTTTCCTAATCAAGTGATCAAATCCTGGTCATGTTTAAAGATTCTGCATCTCTGATGCTTCAGACTAGTCCCAGTCATATCATAGGCTGACTATTAGGAAGATACATTCGGAAAAAGGTCTACAAGTAAGATAAATCTTAACATAAAACTTTAAAAGAAAAAATTATGTCTCACACATATAAAATTTGGGTAGTATGGTATTATGTGGATAAGAGAAGCAGTAATTAAAAAACAGCTTTTGCTAGTAATGAAATTGTTTTGCATAAAATGTATATTTTAGTTTTAAATTTTGGATTTTAATTTGCAAATTAATAAGCATTTTCTTCCAGGTGCTGGTTTTGGAGTACCCCCCTCTGGCTCTGGTTTTGGCTATCCACAGCTTCAATCCCAAACTTATGGTGGAGGTGGTATACCAGGTATAATTCAAATAAGAAGCTATAATCATATTTTTGCTTCTTTAGAAGTAAAATTCATTGCAGCCTAATATATGTTCCCATGCATAGACATTGATTCAAGAAATAGCATCTGTATACAGGCTTAGCTCCATTGTAGTCTACTGGTGTTTCTGCATACATTTGGAATCAGTTGTGTAATTGCTGCTTAATATAGCTTTTAAAAGTGGCTTTAGAAGCTGATCACAATGAACGTTATGTTGCTCAGTGGAAATGCATCAGTACAATATTTCACATGGAAATAAAGAAAATTGGCATGGAAATTAGGAAGAAACAGATGTGAGCCTTCTGGCATTCCAGAATAATAGAATAAGAGAGTTGGAAGGGACCTTGGAGGTCTTCTAGTCCAACCCCATGCACAAGTAGGAGACCCTATAACATTCTGGATAAATGACTGTCCAATCTCTTTTAAAAGCCTCCAGTTATGGAGCACTCAAAACCTATGAAGGCAAGCCATTCCACTTGTTGATTGCTCTTACTGTCAGGACAAAGGAAACAAATCAAACAATAATTTAAGCTCAGAAACAACAAAAAACCTATAGTAGTTAATTTAAAATCTGATTTAAATTATTTGTATATTAAAAAATCAAATGCATCAGGGAAAATGTACAAAGTTTCTTACTGTTGACAGCTATTGGGAGTCCTGATTTGTGTTTTATAGATTATATTGCTTTGGTGTAATGTGTGTGTCCACAAGCACCACAATTTTTAGCAGTAGTATATACTTAATATAAATAAAATTTGTTCAGCTGTAATAAATTGGCTTCATGACAGTATGTAAGACTGTCTTTCCCTGTCTTGCTAAAAGCAGAGAATAACAGAGTTGGAAGACACCTTGGTGGTCTTCTAATCCAAACCCCCTACTTAAGCAGCAGAGCCTATATCCAGGATGGCGAAACTATGGCACGCATGCCACTGGTGGCACGCGGAGCCATTTGTCAGGGCACGCAAGGCGCTGCCCTGTCAGCTGGCCAGCACACAAGCACGCGCTGGCCAGCTGAGTTCACCCATTTTTAAAGCCATTTTTCACCCTCCCCAGGCTCCAGACGCTTTATAGGAGCCTGGGGAGGGT